CGAAATTTGGAAAAAAATACTTTAAACTTTGGTGATTAAGATGTCTCTTTGGCATAAAGAATAAGAAAGTTAGCGTTCAGCACAATATATCGGCCAAAAGGCACATTGAAAGTTTTATTCAATACAATTCGCCTGGTGCACTATCAGTCGTATTATAATACGACGGATTTCATCTAGTTGGATTCTAATGCAGGTTCATTTCAACAATAAGACTAACACGCAGCAGGCGTATTATAATACGACTAAAATTACCAATCTAATTGTGAAATTCTTAGGTATTTGGGAAGTATTACGATATGCCTAGTCGTATTGAAAAAGCCTAGGCGTATTATAATAAGACTGATTTTACATTAAGCCTGCGACAGATATACTTGATTATCCTTCTTTTGATTTCGTAGTGTAGTAGGTAGCCGTTATAATCACGCTTATAGGCAGACATGAGGCTGTCACAGGATAGGTGAGATCAATTAATACTTCTCTGCTGCAGTTGTTTCTTGATGCCCAGATGAAATTCATAAATAAAGTTTATGAGAACTTTCCTGTTGTCACACTATGGAGAAGTGACTATTATCAAGTTAGTTCTTTTGGATATATCAGCGATTTTATCCCAACATGAGTGATCGATGATGACTTTCCCCTGCAGAGCGTTAGAAGTTTTTACATAATGGCCTGAACTGTTCGACGAGTATTTGCAATAGTATACGTTTGAGTCGGAGTACTGGAAATTCATATTATATCTGTTTTGTGATTTAGCCATTATCCTGGATCCACTTACACAAGTCTTATTACCAAACAGTAAAATCTGATGCTTGGTTATTTTGGAGTCACTAAGTTTTGGTTGGTTGAGGTTGGAAGTCGGTAATTGATCTGGATTGTATCTGTATCCACCAATGCCAACACACAATTCATTCTTCAGCTATGTGATTTCATTCAAATGGAGAATATTCTGCACTGTCAGGGTCTCAATTGAAGTGAGGCGGTTAATCTTTAAGATGGTGAAGTCGTTCAATTCATTTCTGGCATTTGTGAGTTTATTTTGACAGGTTTCCAGTTCCTCTTCGATAACGCCCTTCTCAATACTTATTCCAGGTGGTTATTCCGTGAAACTTACTTGGTTGCGATTAGATTTTTTATTTGTTAAATCCTCAACAATAACGTCTTCAACTTTTAGCTCGTTTTGAATCTTTAAAAATTCATTTCTCAAGTCGTTGCTTTCCGGTGTCAGCCTATTATTTAATATTTTCATTTAATTGTCCTTCTTTACATTTGCCTTTGACAGTTGATCTATATGTTTTTCAAGTTTCGCGACCTTTTCCTCATATTTCCGTTCCGAATCTTCATAATGTCGATCTTTGTTTATACTTTCTAACTTCAGTTCTTTGTACTGCCCAGTCAGTTCTACCAGTTTAGGCAGATCTTCTAGATTATGTCTGCAATCTATGCAGTAAAATAGTAAAATTCTTTTTTGCGTTAGTGACAGATCCATCCCCATGATGATTAGCAAAATATATAAAACATAATATATCAAGGTCTAGAAAATTAGCACAACGAAAATGGCACACATCAGAAAAACTAGGGTACTAAATTCGGGCCTAGTTAGTGCTAATTTAGTACGAAAAAAAATAATTTATAACTCTATTTTTTTTAAAATTACGTGCATGTGTGCCAGCTTAAGATTAAGCTGGCACACTCTAGTTGGATAAAGTCGAATCTTTGAAAATTTAGAACCTCATATTTAGTGCTAATTTGGTACATTCATGGCACGCCTAAAAAACTAACAATGATGTATTTATTACGAAATAACCACGGAGAAGTGCTAACTTAAGACTTGAATTACCACACATACATCGAATCGACCGCGCGAGAACGGAATTCGCATGCACATATTTAGTGCTTCAAAAACGACGACCTAAAACGAACTAGTATCACATCAGCACAGAGCTAACCCAAACTAACCCAAAATAACCCGAACTAACCGAAACTAACCCAAACTAACGTCTAAAATTAGCACTAAATGTGTGCTAATTTAGTACTCTAGTTTCATCGCGTCATCGGTGATAATGTTTGTTAACTTATACACTAAGCCAGCACACAAGTGCTAACTCTGTGCTGATGTGATACTAATTCGTTTCGGGTCGTCGTTTCTGAAGTACTAAATTAGCACTAAATATGCGCATGCGAATTCCGTTCTCGCGCGGTCGATTCGATGTATGTGTGGTAATTCAAGTCTTAAGTTAGCACTTCTCCGGGGTTATTTCGTAATAAATACATCATTGTTAGTTTTTTAGCATTGTTAGTTTTTTAGGCGTGCCATGAATGTACCAAATTAGCATTAAATATGAGGTACTAGATTTTCAAAGATTCGACCTTATCCAACTAGAGTGTGCCAGCTTAATCTTAAGCTGGCACACATGCACGTAATTTTAAAAAAAATAGAGTTATACATTATTTTTTTTTCGTACTAAATTAGCACTAAATAGGCCCGAATTTAGTACGCTAGTTTTTCTGATGTGTGCTATTTTCGTTGTGCTAATTTAAGGAACCACATATATCAGACCTAAATTGGAGTTCGCACATTCGGTTTGGAACCCATACCTGGTTAAGGACAGTGAGATCTTGGAAGAGTCCAGCGTAGAGTGACAAAACTCTCTCCTGAAATCAGAAATCTCTCATACGAAGAAAGACTACTGAGATATGACATAACAACCCTAAACGCTAGACAAGTGAGAGAGAGGACTTGATTGAGATGTAGAAAATCTTAAATCACCATTATTCTCCAGATTTGCAACTCGATATTTTCAGTCTAAATACTAACCAGCAAATCCGAGGCCATTCTAAGAAGTTGGATAAGGAGAGATGCTCAAAGCTGATCAGAAAGAATTTTCTGACGAATAGGGTTGTCCATCAGTGGAACACCTTTCAGGAAAGCACAGTAAGTGCTCCTACAAAGAACGCATTCAAAAACAGATTTGACCGGGACCTGGAGAGAGAGAGACTGAATTTTGTGCTTTACATGGGATTCATAACAGTGAAAACAAGGATATAACAATACAGCAGTATTCTCTTCGGCGTTGCCGCTTACTGCTGCTCAAACTTATTCCGTGATAAGAGGAACATGTCATCTTGTCCGCTGTTACGTATTGCACGAAAGGTAACCATGAACCTATCCGCGTAAAATTTGAATTAAAAAGAAAAAAAAAAAAAAACTTGTGAAACTAACACCACTCATCCAAGTAATCTGCAAAGTTAACAAAAATTACACACACCCTTAGATTTATCCACAACCATTAAACCAAACACAAAATATAGAGGAAAAACCTAATATATGGACAACAGAACCGCTACATGGAAAACACAGATACCACATATCAGAAGAACTCTATTATAAATGGCTCGAAACTAGAAACCTCTTCACTGAAACAGAAGGATTTCTTCTCACAATACAGGATCCAACCATAGCTACACGAAACTATTGAAAATACATGATAAAAGACTCAAACGTATGTACCGTCACCTTCAGAAAATGTCATCAATCCAAAGAAATCATAGATCATATCACTGGTGAATGTAAAATCTTAGTGGGTATAGAATACACTGTAAGACACAACATGGTAGGGAAAATAATTCATCAAGCATTAAAAAGATATAAATTCATCACAAACAAATATTCCCCAACCACGATCATAGATACCAACGAATACAAACAGTAGGTATTGGGATATAGAAATCCGCACTGATTAAAAAATAACATGCAATAGACCAGACATCGTTTTCCAAAAGAAAAAAAAACAAATAACCTATCTTATAGACATATCCATACCAAAAGCCCCCAATATTCAGACCAAATATAATGAGAAGATAGCAAAGTATACGGAACTGGCAATAGAATGTCTAGAGATTCTGCAAACAGAAAACAGTTATATTCATCATCTCAACCACAGGCATCATCCCACACATCTTTAATGCACATCTCGAGCAACTCGGTCTCAACCCTAAAATTCATATAAACATACAAAAGTATGTTATCCTTAAAACCTACAATATAGTACGCTCATTCCTCAATTCGGGCAATAGACTCTGAGAAGACTTGATAAAAGTCTGTCATCTTAGAAGCACCACTTTGTGCAAAGTGGGAAAAAGAGGGAAAATTATAAATATTATTATTAATTGCTCAATTAAATTTTGACTAATTTTTTTTTTGTTCCTCAGGACGTCATGGTAGTGGGTGAACCCTCCCTGATGGGCGGTGAGTTCGGCGACGAAGACGAACGACTGATCACCAGGCTAGAGAACACCCAGTACGATGCCGCCAATTCGCTCGACCACGACAACCACGGGGGCGGCGGTTTCCACGGGGCCGACTCGCCCATGGCCGGCTCAAACTCGTGGGGCACAGGTAAACCCTTTCCTTTCCGACAACAAAATGGTACGACATAATTACGTTTTCTTTATTTTTTAAATTTGTATTATTAACTTAGGACCAAGCGATTTTCTTATGCAAGTTGACCTCGGGTCTGGAATTTTTGACGAGTTTTGATTTCATGCAGTATGGGTCAAAATTATACTACTCCTTACTCCTTTTCAGAAAAAGAAACATGTTATTGATGAAAGGAAAATTGAATTATTCCCTGAACCTTATTTCAGAATAAGAAAAGTGGAATTCAGATCAGGAAGTTGAATTTCATAAAAGTAAAATTGTAGTTTAGAATCCTCTCTACGCAAGATAAAAATTTGAAAAAAAAAAAACACTCATAATAGATATTTACTGATTCTAAATTGCATGTTACCAATAATTTTGAATTGCGTTTTCCTATTTCTAATTTTTAAAATTGCATAAGGGTTTTTTGGAATGCCTAGTATTTGCAATGTTGCCAAGTTTACCGTTTCTTACCAACCCAAACTACATCAAATCAAATACGACCAGAGGCCAATTTCCATAAGAAAAAAGCGAAGCGTCCTTCGCAAGAAAAAAAATCCCTAACCATTGTGTTTATTTCTAGGGGCAGGAGGTTCGGGTCCGGGCGACCGAGGACCATCCGGAGCACCGCCGGGCAGTTCGACACCGCAAGGCGGCGATTCCGCGCAGGACAAAAAATCCCCCGCTGTGAGCCAGTGATGACAAAGGACGGGCACACCCAAACCGGGTGGCAGCTTCGAATCCAAACCCAGCGACGATGTCGCTACGAAACCGGCAAATATCCCTGAAAACTCAAACACCGCTACAACTGGTGAAGAACCTTCTAGCGCAGCTCCACTAGAATCTGGCGATACTCCAGTGACGGGAATTTCTCGAGCGTATTTGCATTGGTTGCAGTTACACCAGCAGCTGCAGCAAGAACTGGCGAGATTTTATTTCGGTTATGGGATGGGTGGGTCCCAAGGGCCGCAGGATTTGAGTAAGAAGTCCAAACGATAGAAACTTTATCCAGTGAAACAAGTGACAACAATGTGTTTAAAAGTGATCTGAGAAACTAATAATTATTATTAGATAGAAAGGGTTTGAAGGGACACAACTCTCAATGTGCATTTATGGGTCAGAATGTTGATACTTAATGTGTTTTTATAGTGAAAAATATCTGAGTGGTTTTATTTGATTTGATTTCTGGGCTGGTTTGTTATAGGAGCTATTGTGAAATCCTCCAATAACAAACCACCATTCTGTTTGTGAAGGGTTTAAACAACTTTTGGGTTTTTTTTTATGTTATTTCTTTATAAATAATTTTGTTTGTTTAGATAGTTCTATAACCAGTGGAAAAGTTTGATTTGTATATCAAACCTCTCTTTTCCTTGAAGTTTAGGAGTTGAGAAGATTGATAGTAAGATGACAAGATGCAAGAAAATTTACTTTGAATTAGATGTTCATGTGACAAGACTAGTACATCAAATCTAAGCTTAATGCAAAGAAAAAGGAAGTAATGCATGAGTCTCGAGTCGAATTAAGAGAGAGAAAGAATAATGTTTCTGTCCATAACAACATTATTCCAGATATGCAAAATTTACCTAATTTACAAATAGGTTTTGTTGTGTAGAGTCATTTAGCTGGACTATGTGACAAGCAACCTAATAATGAGCTTGAGTTTAATGGGGAAATATTCATTAATGATAGAAATAATTGATAATGTTTTAAAATTGATAAAAAGCTGGAAGATGTGAGATTCTTGGGGCAAACTTCTACTGATAATAGTTGAGAAGATGTCAACCTTGCATAACGTTCTTTTTTCTTTGCATTTGACTTTAGCTTGAAATACAAACTTTACCCATTATGTATAAATAAATCTCCAGATATTGTTTTAATTTCAATTGAGTCAAAAATTGGTTCAAAATTTACCAGTTCTTAACAAAAATCACAAACCAATTTGTTCTCAAATAAAATCATTCAGATGGCTATTTTGCACCCAAAAAGCTGTGTGCAATTTTATTATAAAGAAATATGGTTCCGTTAAGGAACCGCCCCCACCATAGGTACCTCGATTAAATGTATGAATGGGTCATTTTAGGATAATATTGTTAGTTGGTAATGGCAGCTCACGTTTCTTTTGTACAGTAGCTTGTAAGGGATAAAAACATCACATATTTGTCTGTTTTTACATATTTTTTTTGAGCGGACAAGGTCTTTTTAAGTAATATAATATTGTGCATATTTTGCATTTGGACGGATAATTTGTTAAAAAATGTCTCTCAATATTCTAGTAGTTTTGGTTCCTTTTTTATTTTATTATTTTTTTTACTAAATAGATTATGTTCCTTTTCTGATACGAGACATTTTTTAGCCAATAATATCCTCCAAATCCATCAAACATAAACATTGGGCCTAACCATAAGCCCTTTGCTAGGATCAATTTTGTATCATAGAAAAAAATATTTTAAAAATTGTATAACTGACGCATAAATATTGTCCATTAAAAAACAAACTGATGATGATTGTTTAAATTACATGCTAATTTAAGATTGTATGTATTTTATAAAAAAAAAAACAAACTGCGCTCTTGTGGCTACATTTTATTTACAAAAATTATTCAAAATTCTGTTTCTTTTTGTTTTTCCAATGATTATTGGTGTCAGATTAATGATATGATTGAACTTTTATTGTAAACGTAATTGAAAAATAATATATAAAATATATCCGAGACTGGTGTAAATTTTCTTAAGTCTCTCTTGGAAAAACTGTGTAAGTGTATTTTTACAATATCATTTTTTTTTTATTGTAAAGTAGTAGTGTGTGTTTTTATCAAAGGACATGGGTTTTATATTCCATTCAGATTCATTATTGTTTCTTTATCAAGGAAATATCATTGGTGACTCCACCAAGTTAAATTTTAAGATATTTATTTCAAACATTTCACAATAGAAACACTTACAAATACTGCGGTTTTATTTTTTCCCTATTCCTTATTATTGATCCTTTGTGATGATTGGTTGGAAATTTTATCAAGAAAAAAATAAATGGTTGTGTGGCACTACCAATCTAGTCTCATGAGGAACAAGTTTCTACATAATAACAAGAATTTTGTATATTGTAAAAAGATACTTATATTTTTAATTTTACTCCCTAATAATTGTAATTCTAGCAATATTATAAGATAAAAATTAAAACAAACATAGTTCTAATCAACTAAATCGCTGGCTTGCTCCAGAACAGCTCCGCTATAAGCCAAATCCCAATAATGCTCCACTTTGTGTTTTTTAAAGTGCTCCCTGGCCAACTTTTCAGTTGGAGTAACTTTGAATTTCACTTCACCGAAATTCCTTTGCTTAGTTGTTCCTTGCCACACTAAAACGCACTTATTCGGAATGTCGTTACCGTCTGGATCTTTCACTATGTCTTCTTCCCATTTAATCCGATTTAACATCAATCTAAAAACAATTTTTGTAACCATCTATGTGTACAAAAAATGTATTACCTTTTATATTTTTTCTGTTGCTTAGGTCCACCTTCAACAACAATCACACAACAATCCGGATACAAAACAACACATCCAGTCATGTAAAGTTGTTTGGCGTTAGTTTCAATTTTGAATTTTTTCGAGGCCAACTCGTGAAGGTGCAGGACTCTGTAGATGGAAACTTGCACGCCTAGTGTAGTGTCTTCTTTCAGCTTTTTTACTTTTTTGTCGCGTTTTTGCTCAGATGTTAACTTACGCGCTGCGTTTGCTTCTTCGTGGGCTTTTTGTCTTTTTGCCATTTGTTCTCTGGAAAGAAAATTGAAAATTAAAGTTTTTTAATACATATTTTGGAGTAGTTTATTATTAAACATTATTGAAAGAAGACTAACCATAGAGAACAACTTCTTTAGAAAAGAGTGCAGACAAAAAAAAAACACAAAAATAATGAGAAGCCTAGAAGTGTATCATCAATATGTAATTTTCATGTGCAATAAATATGGTAGATTATGATATATTTTGACGCAGATACATAGATGCAACCAAAAATGAATAGTATTTTCCAAGATTTAAATCAGATTATAAATTTAGTTTTGAATGATAATTTTGTGGAATTTTTCAGGTTATTTTTCACTGAATCAATTCAATATTTCAGTATCATGAGCCTTTCCTATCAGTGATCTTTTGGAAAAACACCAAAATGTTTGGAAGTGTATTTTTTCTTAAGTTAGATTTTGAAATTTTTTCTTAAGTAGAATTTTTGATGTTGTCATCAATTCAAAATTTCAGTATGATAAGCTCCTTTTCTTCCTCTCTACACCACAAAAATTTCAAAATTTTCTCAACAATATTTTTTTTTTAAATAAATAAGAAAATGTCCGAGATTGTATTTTGCTCAAAATTGGATTTTCAAAGCTGATTTTCTAGAATTTCTAATGCAGTCGTTTTTCACTGAAGTTATCCAAAATTTCAGTATGATCAGCTCATTTTCTACCTCTTTTCAACCCAAAAAGTTAAAAAAATTTCTATCAGTGGTTTTTTAAAATAACACCAAAATGTCCGAGAGTGTGTTTTGCTTAAAATTGGATTTTCGAAGTCAATTTACTAGACTTTCTAATGCGGTTGTTTTTCACTGAACCAATCCAAAATTTCAGTATGATGAGCTACTTTTCTATTTCTTTTCACCCCACAAATTCAAAAAAATTTCCATCAGTGGTTTTTTAGAACAACACCAAAATTTCCGAGAATGTATTTTGCTTGAAAGTGAATTTTCAAAGTTGATTTTCTAGAATTTCTAATGCAGTCGTTTTTCACTGAACTTATCCAAAATTTCAGTATGATGAGCTCATTTTCTACCTCTTTTCAACCCAAAAAGTTAGAAAATTTCCCATCAGTGGTTTTTTAGAATAACACCAAAATGTCCGTAGGTGTTTTGCTTAAAATTAGATTTTCGAAGTCGATTTTCTAGAATTTCTAATGCGGTCGTTTTTCACTGAACCAATCATAAATTTCAGTATGATGAGCTCCTTTTCTATCTCTTTTCACCCCAAAAATTCAAAAAAATTTTCATCAGTGGTTTTGTTAGAACAACACCAAAATTTCCAAAAGTGTATTTTGCTTGAAAGTGAATTTTCAAAGCTGATTTTCTAGAATTTTTAATGCAGTCGTTTTTTACTGAACTAATCCAAAATTTCAGTACAATGAGCTCATTTTCTATCTCTTTTCAACCCAAAAAGTTAAAAAATTTCTCATCAGTGGTTTTTTAGAACAACACCAAAATTTCCGAAAGTGTATTTTGCTTGAAAGTGAATTTTCAAAGTTGATTTTTTAGAATTTCTAATGCAGTCGTTTTTCATTGAACCAATCCAAAATTTCAGTATGATGAGCTCATCTTCTATCTCTTTTCAACCCAAAAAGTTTAAAAAATTTCCATCAGTGGTTTTTTAGAACAACACCAAAATTTCCGAGTGTATTTGGCTTGAAAGTGAATTTTCAAAGCTGATTTTCTAGAATTTCTAATGCAGTCGTTTTTCACTGAACTTATCCAAAATTTCAGTATGATGAGCTCTTTCTTTTCCTCTTTTCACCATAAAAGTTTCAAAATTTTCCCATAAGTAGTTTCTAGAAAAAAACCCACCAAAATGTCTGAAGCTGCATTTGGTTTGATAAATAAACATAGGAAATTGAAACAAAAAATCACATGACTAAAAACGCCCCCTCATTGACTTAAGCTGATATTCATGCACTTTGCTAGTCGTTAGAAATGCCAAATTTCCATTCAACTAACTACTAACATGGATGCCAACTTTTTTTCCTATTCCTCAACATGATTGAAAATGCCCTATCACTGACTGAAGCCGATATTCATCACAAAAAGGTTGCAATGTAATAGGTTTTCCCTTAAAAGTACAATACTTTAATTCGATGCAGTCATGTTCTCGAATGATGTACTAATGAGAAATTCGGCATCCTCGCATCTTTAATGGGTTTAGGGACTCTGAAGTCATAACCCAGAGCAGTTTTGAAATTGAATTTCCAAATCATTTTAAATATTTCCAAAAATAAGCATTTTTCTTTTGGAAAAAAAAAGTATACAGATGTTAGAATGACTAACACAATAATTTAAAAATGTGTACAATTCTTACCTGACATGCGCTTCAATTTTAGTAGGATCCTGCACAGCTTCAGTACCCAGCGCCCGCATCAAATTCGATATTCTAAGTTTGGGTTCCGGCGGTGGTTCAAGCCCCAAACGAATCTTCTCTTGCTCCTCCTTCCACATCTCTCTTCTATTTTGCCTGCGCAACTTTTTCCTTTCTTTCTTCGTTAAAAAGACCGGCATGTAGATGGGCTTCAATGGGTCGGCTAAAAAAATTCATCTCTTAAACATCTGAAACCAATAAAAAAAAAACTACAAACGTAATGGGTTCGTTGTTAAATATTGCCCGTTGATTAATACTTACTAGGACATCTCATTTGTGTAGGGTGCTCAACTAAATTATTAATTGATTCAGCTTTGATGGCAATCTTTCCAGTTTCAGTTAAAGTGTCCAGATTGTCTTGCAAGACTACCGAGTCCCACCATTCCATTGCTGGTACATCATCACTTGCCCCTTCAGTTTTAGCAATCAAGGCTAATTTGGTTGCAGATGATATGCCAGTTTTTTTGGCTATCTGAGAAATTTCATTTTGAAGCTTCTCTAATTGAGTCTAAAAATTAAAAATTTTATATTTTTGCCACAATATTTTTTAGAAATAAAAATTACCTTCATTCTTAACCTTTCAGCCAATTGTTGAAATTTACCAGGTTCGTGGAACCTTAAAGCTCTCTTACCCCTTAGGGCAGGTTTAATACCGATCCTAGGATCGATAAACTTGGTTTCAGAATCATCTTCTTTCTTGTCCATCTTGTCCCTGTACTGATCCCGCTTCTGAGCTCTTAAATTTGCTTTTAGTGTGGGTGCTACAAGTGTAAGTTGAACGGCTTTACCTGATTTATCGATTGTCCTTCCCTCCTCATCCAATATAAGTGGCTGAGGCTTATTTGGAATAATGGGAATTTGGATGGCATTGCCCAATATGCCGGTTGATAGTTTACTTTGAATTTGGGCCTAAAAAAAAAGGAGATTTTATAGATTTTACTCTAGTAGTTTAATTTAAACTTGCTTAGATTGTAACTGCATCGTGTCTTGTCTAAAACTGGATTTGGATATTTTTAAAGTGCAACCCTAACCCTTTGAAATTTCACCCTCTTTTGATAGATTTTTTTTGTGTGTAGAATTTCAATGAGATGAGTGTAAAGACCTGTCATCCAACTTTAATCGAGAAATACTTACTTGTAATTGGGCAATTTTCCTTGCTTTTTCTGCATCGCCTTTATTGAGCAACCCAGTAGGTATTCCATATATGCTTGCCTGGGGTATTTTAATACTACCCAGACTAATATTGTTTTTAGTTGGTGGTGGTAATGGGTCTATTCTCATATTTCTCACGATACCATCTTTGTCAGATAAATGTCTATCGCGTTTCTCAGAATCCCTATCGCCTCTGCTCTTTTTTGAGTCTCTATCCCTGTCCCTATCGTCATCGTAGGAACGTTTTTTGGACTTATGTGAAGACTCCAAATCATTGACTAAATCTTGTATTCTTTCAGCTAGTCTCGTAGCCTTTTTACTGTCTATATAAGAGTCAAGTTTATCAGCAATTTTCCGTCTATCATACCCATTTGTTAAGCAATCGATCGCTACCCTTAGCACTGAAGAATCGCTGCTACCTAATGTTTTGTATACGGCTTTCTCGATCGATGGCTTCAGATCTTCGATTTCTCTGCGTGATAAATAAGCCATTTTTCACGTTTTTTGCGTATATTTGTAGAAAATTAGTTATTTTACTGATATCATCCCAACAACGTACACAAAACGACAAAATGTCAGAGGAAAAGATGGAAGATGGAAGATGTGTCAAATTTTGTGGTTATGGTTAACAGATAAATTATTCTTCTTTTTTTGAAAGATAAGTTCGATTCATTGGGGAAAAAGCTTAGTGTAGTTCGAACCAACTCTTTGGATCTTACTCTATCCGTGCGTTCGGTATTTTGATCTGAGTTCTCCGAGCTTAAAATTACCGTTCATTTAATTTAAAAAGTGTGCTCGGTGCCGGCTCATTCGTATTGGTTTATTGAAATTTCTAGCGCTCTAATACTGGGTTTAACTGCTCTGTGCGCTCGCTGACCACTTAGCTATGGCTCCGCTTCAGCACGCTCTGCTGTTTGAGCAAAATACCGAACGCAAGGTAGTCTAGGAACAGTAGGAACACATGATAATACATAAGGCAATTTTTCGCGAGGATAATCAAGCATAATCTTTTGCTGGATTATGCGATGTGTCTCTCATACTTCTCTAACTCCCCCACTATCAAATTTTGAAATACTCGAGGATCAAGAGCACTTAATTTCTTCTGTGGGAACGGACCAAAAATCACCTCTTCTACAATAAATTGACGAAAAAATTAATTCACTAGCACAGCTTGAATCGCAAGCATTTCATCGAGGTCTGCGGGTGACATCATTACTATAAGATGCTGATAGTGACGTCACCCGCAGACCCAGAATTTGATAGGATAGGGATAGCCTATTCTCATATAGTCTAAGAGGCAGTGTCCCTTATCGGTACTTATTTTCCCTGTCAAAAAACATGGATATAATTGAAGATTTAGTAATTTTGAGCAAAATTCATATATTTTAAGAGGGGGTGTTCCGATGGGTTGAGGCGCGTGGTGCAACAAACATTTTTCGAAAGGAATAAGTGCGTGACGCCCCGGAGCTCGTCCTAGCTATGAAAGGAATAAATACAACAGCTGGGTTCGGCTATTCAGCGCGGAGTTGGAGTGGAGTGAACAGAGCTAATGGAGCCACCTCTAATACGGTAAAAAGCAATACCCGAACCTTTACCCGAACGGCTTGAGTGCGAATGGAGTCACTCGGAGTGCACGGAGTGAGCAAGCCGAACCCACCTAACAATGATCAATTATTTGAACACTTCCCGGCTATTGACGTTTTTTAGAATTTATTTCTTGTGATTCAAGATCAAAAGTTGAACTATACTCCGTGCCCAGTTATATTCTAGTAGTATTCAAGAGCCAGTTTAATGATTAAAATCAATCAAACAATGGAAATATTTCCATAATATATCTCGCCAATTCCGTGACGAAGGCAGCATGTCGTTTCTCGCCTTGACGTAGGCTGTTTCCACCACAGGTTATGATTTCGCGGGCATTTGCTTTTGTTTTATGCATACCTTCTTGGTTTTACTACAATAATTAATATTCTGACAACTTCTTTTTAGATCTCGTTTGCATCTTCCTCTTTACCCATTATGTTAATCAAAATTAAATTATATTTATCATTTTAAATTAAATTAAATAACTAGAACCGCTGGCGCAAACAGCTTACAACTTAGTTGATGACGTCGACAATGGTGAAACACCAATATGGCCGCGAGTACCAGAAACGGGACCAATAAGTAATCCTTAGCCATTTGTTGCACGGAGGTGCACTCAGTGCAATTTTTATATTCCATTTGACTGCACATTTTCAGTTTTCATTTTCCATTTGAAATTCAGTGCAATTATTTATGCACTCAGTGCGCATTTTTTGGCACGAGCTAGGAAGGCTCGTGGAGAGCCAGTGCAGTTTGTTTTGTTTTTGTTTACATGTACCGTACATAAAAATGTCTGCTAATTTCCAAAGAAAAAGTTGTTGCACTTTTGGATTTGATATGTAGCAGCAGCGAACTTGAATTCTATGACGAAATTATCTTATTTGAACGTATTCCGCAGCTTATCCACGTTGTTTTTAGATATATTATTATTTATTATTGTTTAAAAATATTGTCTGATGCGAAGTACTTTAAATTATTTATAGATAGTCAATGGACCATCGAACTAAATATTTATTTAGTATGACTTCTTCTTCATTAACTCTAAAATTCATTTCAAATACATCAATTTTTTAAATAGTTTTTGTAGTTAACTCTTGAACCATAGAACGACAGCCCAGACTAAACTTATTAATATTACAATTTTATAGGCTGTTCATTTGTACTGCTTTTCTTGTTTCAAGCAGATCTCATCAGCTGATCGGCGTTCACTTCACTTGTCCCATAACTCCCATATAATAAGCTCATAAATAGCAGCACCTAGCATATCTTCCTGATTTTGCGAGTAGGTAGCAAGTAGCAAGTACAAATGAACAGCCTCTATACTATAAAACATGCAGAGCAGGTAACCAGAAACCGGCAAATGCTAAACAAAAACAACTAACCAACATATGATTTTACATAACCCCAGAATCCGAGCCGAGTCTGCATTTTTGCTTTCCATTTATACTGCACTGGTGCGCGTTTTTGACAGCACTAGAAAAATTCTCGTGCGCACTGAATGCTGCACTGAGACGACAAATGGAAAACGCCATAATTGTATAAAAAGGCTTTTTATACAATGGTAGTAGGTATTATCCTTGAGCGCTCCCCGTTTGGGCGGTGACGTCACAGTCTGCGAGAGTGTTTTGGGAACCATTTATAATTAACTAGCTGACCCGGCAAACTTCGTACCGCCTCTGAATTATTAAATATACCTATTAAATGTTGTGTTAACGTATCTATTAGCTGAATTAAATTCATTTTTTTTGATGGTGAATTTGGCTTTAGTTGAAGAAAATTAATGTTTACTCTCTGGATCAGAAGTCACCTAAAATTAAAATTTTACATCATCCTTTTTTAGGCAGCTTGTGGGCATTATTCTTGTAAAGTGTACCACCAAATAATTAAACTCAGGCACAGGAATGTTCAAAGAATGTAAAGAAAACAAAAAAAATCTCTAGCGCAGCCCTGTTTCACTCTAGCTGCACTGCATGCACTGCACTACTCCATCTGTTCTACTCTATCTGATCTACTCTTTCTGCACCACTCTATCTGATCGGAATAGTGGAATAGTTCTGTTCGAAATAGCTCCAGTTCCTGAGCAGCATTGTTCTACTGTATCTGCAATGCCGAGCTTCGTTCCAGGTATCAGAGATGGCGCGGAATACAAAATACAAAATAAACTTGGTATCGGTTATAAGAGATAACGCCGTATGCGGGCTTAGTGAATTTTTTTCATAAATAAATAAAATAAGTAATGAAATGACCATATTAATGACATAACAACATGCTGGTACTGTCAACGCTGAAGAAAGTTTCAATTTGACTGCAAAATCCCCATTAACAAAATTATCCTCCATTTATTACAAAAAATGTGATAAATGAAGAACCGCTCGACCGATTTTGTGCAAACTTCACATAAACCATCTAATAAATAGTCCGAACAAAGCCTAAAAATTTGGTTTGGCTAGGTGAGTCCGTTCTTGAGTTATAAAATTACAACGAAAAGCGGCATTCATTTTTATATATATAGATTCAATATGGAAATCGAACGTACAGTCGTGAGCAAAGTGGAACATGCGACTGATAGGTCTTGTCATTTTCCGCTATATGTATTTTTCCATGTATTTATTCATGTAGTTTAGGGTGACAACCGAAAAACTTCAAACGCAACATAAATCAGCATTATGGAAAACAAAATAATGTTGGAACCCTAAACTACATGAATAAATACACGAAAAAACACACAGATGTAATACGGGCATTAGAGCGGTAAATCAGAGGCGTTTTCTCCCGTTTACTTTTTTGAAACTGGTTCAAAACTGCTTTGAAACAGTACATTCTCGCGATAAACCCATGACGTCACGTCAAAATTGATTCAAACAAATACAATCCAATCCACGTTTTCAAACCATTTTCTGGCGCCGAGAAATTATGATGTCATGCTCATGGTGACATTACTTAAACCAGTTTTTAAAAAATGTTTTGAAACATTCAAGACGCGAGAAAACGTCTCAGGGCGAATTTTCATGAGCGTAAGTTGACATTTCTGGCGTAATCACGTGATAAAATAGTTGGGTTTTATTGGCAAAATATTCGCCATGTTGGATATTTTACCAATCAAATTACACCATATTATTACGTGATTACGCTAGAAATGCCAACTTACGCTCATGAGAATTCGCCCTCAGAGTATTTTCTCTATAGCCGCTTTCCAGCTGACGCTTTTGAGTACGCAATCGAGCTTTTGCGCGCGAAAATGCTTCAAGCGCGTGTTCGTGGTCCAGCTGTAAACTGTGTTTTTTTTTTTAAAGATAAAAGTCAAAATGACATTATGTTGGCAATACAATGTAAAATTGTCAATGCTTTCAAATTTTTACATAGAAAAGGCTTGTGTTGCCAACAAAGTTACTAAATTTTTGACTTGGGGAATTATCTTTAAAAAAAAAACAGACTTTACTGCGCTTCGAGAGCTTGCTAACTTTTGCGTTTCAAACACAGAACACTGTGCTGCACCGTGCTTGAAGCACATAGCTGGAAAGAGGCTTATATGGATTTTTTGTCAAACATGATAATCCCTGTCATTTCCATAGGTATGGCTGGTGCGCTCGTTTTACAATAGGAAAAAAGGTATCCCACTTTCAATGCTCACGACTATACATACCCCGTGCGTTCGGTATTTTGTTCTGAGTTCTCTGAGCTTGAAAATACCGTTCGTTTATTTAAAAAGTCTGCTCGGTGCAGGCTCATTCGCGTTTGTTTAACGCTCTCTTTGAGCAAAATACCAAAAGCCAGATTTATAGTTTTAATCAAATCCGTTGATACATCGAATTTACCGAAGCAAGAAAGAGCGCTCCGTGCGAGATTTGAGCGCGTTCTATTGCTCAAGTCGAACACGTGAATCTTGCCGAAAGCAACGCTCCGTTTCAAATCGAACATTTGAATCCGTTTCGGATCGCTTTTTGATCAATCGGGTGCAGTTTTGAGACAAAAGTCGAAAGCGCTATTTTTCTATAAAAAATGTCCAGTGATTCAAGAGCCAGTAGTTGGGTTCGGCTATTCAGCGTGGAGTTGGAATGGAGTGAACAGAGCTAATGGAGTCACCCCTAATACGGTAAAAAGCAATACCCGAACCTTAACCAGAACGGCTGGAGTGCGAATGGAGTCACTCGGAGTGAGCAAGCCGAACCCACCTAGTGATAATATTGACCTTTTGTTTGGACGCCATATTGCGGTGCGCGAACATAGTTGCCAACAGTAGAATAAAAAAATTACTAGCGTACTGTCCACTTTAAAAACAAAAGTTACTGAATAAATTATATTTAAAATTTAAATTTGCCGCCTATTACGAATGTTGTTGAAAAGAAAAGTCATCAATTTTGTATTGGGCAGAATAGAAATAATAAAATATCTACCTATTTACTTTACCAAATTTCGGTTACCTAGGTTAAGTTTGTTCGTTTATAGAATCAGAGAAAGGAAGTAAACCTCGAGTAAACAAACAAAAAGGATAGCGAGGATCAATCATGTTATTTTTTTTTTATTTTGACAGCCCGCTATTAATTTTTGTTTTCTTCTTTTGGCAACTATGTTCGCGTACCGAAATATGGCGTCCAAACAAAAGGTCAATTACTATAGCTAAAAACTGGAATGCGCACACATTGCCATATCTGCCAAAAAAATGAAGCCATGAAAGACAGATGCCACAAGGGGGAATGTTGTTTTTTTCTGTTGCTCGCTGACATATGACGTTTTCGAAAGTTTTGTCATATTTCCCTTCACAGGTTTCATCAATTGGAATACGTGCAATTTTCGCCATTTAACATAATGAGTGCGACAAAAACAGGTATCCCCTCCGCAGCAGCCGCACTAGGCTTCAAGTTCGTCCTTATAGTTGTATTCCTTTCGAGAGTTTGAAACACTCGAGCTACTCGCTCCGGTGCTCAGTCGCCCCCGATTTGTAGGGTACAGATGCGTGGTACAACAAACACTTTTCGAAAGGAATAAGCGCGTGAAGCCCCGGAGCTGTTCCGGAGCTCCTCCTAGGTGTGAAAGGAATACAACTTATGTGTTAGCATTCCAGTTTTTGGTTATAGTTCATTGATCAGGACCATTCGGGCTCTAAGCTGTTCGGATATACTTTGCTCTAAAGTAAGAACACAAGATAAAACACCCTGAATTCTACTTTAAATTCGTGTTCAGTGTGCTTCCGTTCTGTATTTGGCTCAAAGAGCAGAGTGTGTTAAAGTGGAGCCGTAATCACGTGATGAGCGAGCGCATAGAGCAGTTAAAAGCTGTATCGGATCTCTCGAAATTTTAACAAAAGAACGCGAATGAGCCTGCACCGAGCACACTTTTCAAATAAACGAGCGAAAAATAAGCTCGGAGAACTCAGATCAAATCCCGAACGCACGGTGCGTCAAACTGTGCTGACAGTTACTGTTCTTTGTTCTTCACTCTCAAAAATTTCCTTTCCTTAAAAGGTAGAACTTATGGAGTGAGCTCTATTTACTCCGTAAACTGAATAGTTACTCGGTTTGCTAGAGAACCGTACCCGAATAGTTGGAGTGCCTACAGAGTACTTAGCCGCTTTCGGGTGCCACAGTTTGAGCACTCCAAAGTGACTCCGAAGAACTTCGTCCGCGATTTTACCTTTTCGTCTATGCAGATTTCGCGCTCTGGTTCGGAAACCACGGGCGCGTTTGGGTTCACGCTCGGTGCGCTCAGTGCATGCACTTTTGTCTCTTTTCCGTTATTTTTGAAGCTCCGACGACGCTTGATTGTGTTTGGTTTGACATATTTTGAGCGCTCAGAGCGAGCTCGAAGATAAATAAACAATCCTGAATTTTAACATATACTTGTTAGGTGAATAGTTTTAGCTATTTTGTTTAAATGTAAACAATCAAATAGCTAGTAAATTCTGCATAATTGTTTACTCTTAATTAAATTTTCTCGATAGTCCTCATCACTGGTATTATTGAACATATTTTTCCAAGGGAACTTGGCAGCCTCAGAGTGTTTAGGTCCGTCTTATTGTTTATGTAAAAGCTCGACATTTTTTGCAGAATACAAAAGAAAATGGGGCTGTTTGAAAATTATCGACTAAAATGTAAAACAAACGAGAAAACTCTGGTGCAAATGTGGAATGCGGGCTCGGGTTCCAAAATATATATGCTAAGAAAAATAAACAATAATCAGCTGATCGCTCAACCCAGCACTTTTGCACAAGTTTATTTGGCTTGACACGGTGTACTCCCTGTGACGTCACGTTACTCCGTAATCGCTCTGCTCGCTCCGCCGAGCGTCAACCCAAACACGCCCCACGCTGAATACGAATTTCGGATTCTAGGCACGCTGAATCGTGACGGTACACTGTACGGTTTCCTGTTGTTTTGGAACAAAGCTGTTGTTTTCCTCTACTACTGTCAATATTTTTAAAAAAATTAGGTTATGTAATTTTCAATGTTTATTTTTTTTTCAAACTTTATAAATTAGAAATTAGTTGATAAAATAAACTCTAAAGCGAACATATATTCAAATAACTTCAAATATGAACAACGTAACAGTGGACGTAGAGTATTGGTAAGTACAACCACAATTTACCCAACAAATTTCGCCCAAAAATATTCATTTCAGCAACAAATGCAATCCTGATTTTTTCAAAAAGTTTCAGGAACTAGAAAAACAGATTAAGAACCTGCATCCCAATGTAAATGTACATGGACAGGTTGGACGCAGAGGTATTGTAGCTACAAACTTCTGTAAATTGTTTATAGTAATAATATATTGTTTTAAAAAAAATATATCTGTTTCTATACATAGTAGGTATCACTTATCAGTTATTTATGTAATAAATGCGGAAAGTGATACTTTACCTCATGCAAGCCATTAAGGGCAGTAAAGGCACTTTCCGAATGTGTTAGGAGATACAAAAGTCTACTTTACCGTAGACTATTTGCTACTTTCCACTTGCAAATAAGGGCGGTGAAGTGCACTTTCCACACGCTCATAGGTAAAGTAATAATTATATTTGAAAATCATTACGGAAATATTTGATATTTTGAAAATTAAGCATCACTTCATGAGAGTTTGGAGTTTACCTTATTAGGGTTCTTCAATATTTTCAGGTTCTTTCGAAGTGCAAATAAACGGCTCTGTGGTACACTCCAAATTGCGAACAATGGCTTATCCTGATTGTGATGATTTGGAAAAACTGGTGCAAGAAGCTGAAGAAGGCAAACTTGTCGAAAGACAATGCAAGCAGGAACCCATATCGAGTTGCTCAATTTCGTAGTACGTAGTACCAAAATTTTCCAGATATATGGGGATAGAACAAAAGACTTTGCATTTATAACAAAGATCTGATATAAAATATTATTGTATAGTAGCAAATATATATATTTTGTTTAGTTAATTGGGTCTATTTTTAAAATCATACTACCTAATTTTGCTTTTATATTATTTAATAGCAAAAATTTAAACTTAACATTGCAGAATCTATAGTAATTTCATTGCAGTCGTTAGCTCAAATCCAGGGTTATGAAACTATTGTAAACCATAGGGTTTACAATGTCTTTATGATCCTAAACCTCGTTTTGAGCTGCAATGAAATAGACTATAACATTTGCATTATAATACTGGCAAAATAATTTCATTAAACAACCCTTGGAAATAACAGCAACCTAAAATCTAAAATCACATTAATTAATAACTAGCAGTATAAAATATATATTTTTTTTATAAATAATTTCCTACAAACTATAGTCTAGGCATTGGTGATTGCATCACAGTCAATAAGTAACTATACATAATTATTATATTGATACCTAAATAAACTATATTTTTTTCCTAAATCAATTTATTCAATAAATATTTTCCACAAGCTTGCTGTCACTTACAAATCTTTATCAAAAATTGTCCTATTAATCAACTTGACCAACTCCAAATACAAAAAACAATCCCTACCGGCAGGTTTACAAATTTGGCGATGATCCAAAGGCACTTCACATTTAACACCTACATCGGGATCTGCCGATTCGTACGCGATAAATTTCAACGAAGCAAATAAACCTATAGGCGTGTTTTCTGTATCTATAAAACTAAATATTTCCGGTTTTGCGTTGCTGGTTTCTTTGTTGAGCATTTCTAGAAAGCGCGTGTGAAGATCCAAGACAAAGTCACAATCTGCAAAATATTGAAAATCTTGATAAGTGAATCAAGAAATTTCCAACTACTTACTTGTTTGAATTTCTAAAACCTCAATGCTTCGTTTGAAGAATGGAAAAGTCAAGTCAGCCACGGGAGAGCCTTTATGAGGCACGCTATAAAACATTATTCCCTTGGTTAGTTCTAGTAAATTTTTCACGGTTTGATTTTGCATGTCAGCACGAGTACCTGGAATAAAGGACATTTGAGTCCAGCAAACAAATCTCAAAACAATTAAGACTTACTGTTTAGAAGCATTTGTTTAATGTATAGACCGCCCTTAGAATGTCCTACCCAGATTATGGGCCTGTTACCTACGCCTAGTCTTAATAATTCTTCCATCATTTCTTTGCTGCGTTGTGTTAGGTTTGTTCTAGGAAGAAAATGGTATAAGTTCAATATTCAGATATTAGAAAATATACCAAAAAAATAATACAATAATAATGTATGGCCGATACGTGTGGCCTCACATTCTTACGAAATCCGTTGACCCTGATAATCAAGGAAAATGCGACATCTTCGGACGAACAAATATTTATATTTCTTAGAAACAGCGGGAACGGATTTTAACGTATAGAAATAATGCAAGTTGCGCATGCTGGGACCAAAAACTATTAGAACAATCAGGTAGGTATATATGTTCTCTCTACAAAGTAAAGACAAAAGTAAAGAAGTCGTGAGGGGATGAAAATTTAATTCATTCTACCTACATTATGTGCGATTTCTCAGTAATTTAAAGGTTTATTTTATTAGAATAATGAATAGTGAAGTTAAGGCAAAATTGTAAGTAATGTAGAAAAAAAAAAATGGTACTTTTGTATTGATTCTTACCTTCTCTTCATTTTTTCCCATAAAGGCCTCCACAATTTATCAGTAGAATAATTAATACCCAAAACCCTGACGCCTGGACAATCGTCTGGCAACCAATCCTTCGGCCAGCAACTACTGAAATCTTCGTGGCCACTAACAACTTCAATTTCATCGTCACTTTGTTCAGTATTTATCTGATCGTGATTATTTTTTCTAGCTACTTTTGCTGGTATGTTTGTGTAAAGTTTGTTTAGGGTGCGTTTGAGTTTGCATTCTTGGGGCGGAGACAGTTCCCTAACAGGAACGTACATGTTTCCAGTAGATTGTCGTCTTATAGGGGTCAAATCTTGAAGTTTGGGGTTGTTCACGCGCCATTTACCTTGGGTCCATGTCCTATCGAGACCTGAAGAGATATACCTACATTAGGTTTTCAACATTTTTTAATTGCTCAAGAGCTTTGAATTAATATTTATTTGTTCATCATTCATTAAGGGAGAATTTGAGTCAAGGCAAGAAGATAGAGTTAAGAAAATTATTTACATCATTTTTGGTTGGAATTAGTTACCCACCCATATATTTCAAGATATTGGGAATGACTATCGAAGACAGAATAACATCAACGAACAAAAGAAAATAGAGTAGGAATAAAAGAAAATCAAAAAATATTCACCAATGTGTTTTGTTCCACTAGTCTAGTGATTGAAAAGCCAACATTATTACTGGAGAAATGTCCTAGCGGATCGAGGTAAAGTTTAATCAAAATCTAATTCATTTCCGGCTCTTGATTCAGATTAGGAGCTAAGGTTGGCAACTGAAACCAATTTTCCGTTAACCGAGGTTTTTACCCAAAACGAAAATCGGTTAATCGATTTTAAGCGGTTTTCGGTTAACTGCAGCTTTTATCCAAACCGAAAATCAGTTATTCGGTTAATCGATTCCAAGGTATCGGTTAAAGGGGATTTGGCTTAAACCGAAATACTGTTATTCGGGTAATCGGTTTGCGGTTGCGAATACCTACCAGAAACTGACTGACTGAAGTCGATAATTGAAAGTACTAAATCAAAACAGAACTCCATGAATTAATGAGAAAACTATAGAATAAACACTTCTATTTCTATTCAAAAAAACGTAATACAAAAGAAACTTTAGGTCTTAGAGTAAAGACTTGAGGACCTCAACCCTGAGAATTAAGATTATTGTTAAGGAAAACCAACATGTTCACTGTGTTTCCTTTTAAACAGCTTCTTTTATCTGGAACTATGTTTCCTGCATCATTGGCACAGTTTGAGTTGTAATATTCCAAGAAAATAGACCCATAAATCACAATGTCTTTACTGTAAAAATTTAATAATATCAAAAAATACTAAATCAGTATCGATAAATTAAAATGAAACAAATTAACGCTAACGTATTTCGACACCCAGCGTGATGTCATCCTAACATTCGATCAATGAACTTTTTTTTAGCGAGGCCATCGTACCTAATTAAATCAAAGATTTATGGCATTCTTGAACCTAAAAATATCCGTAGTGACCCCGATAAAATCAGGAAATTGCGATATAGTTATTCGAAACAGATAAAAATTACAAAATTTTTAGGGAGATTGCATCATCTTAATTGTCATGGACAAAGTTTCTTGTATTGCCTCGGTAAGAGTCTTTGAAAAAGTAGCGGAAAAATTTTGAAAGAAAGAACAATTAAATTCGTCAACATTTATGTGCGTGCTAGCTAAAAATTTTGAGCAATGAATTAATTTTACGTGTGCAAAGTTAAATGTAAGTACTTTAGTGTTTAATAATTTTCTGATTTTTATCAATGATTCTGAATGATAAGAAGTGAATTAACAAATGACTTTCAATGCCTAAAAACTTGAGTGATTTTCCTAGTTAAACTTTTGACTTTATAAAAGATGAATGACTATAAAGTGGAATATCAATGGAACATTATTGCATAACTTTAATTGCCTTCAGATATAGTGACATTCTAATTTAATTGTGCAAAGAAAATATGAAGGGAACCTATAATGCATTTAACAATATACAATTTTGAGTTGGAATTATGAATTAAACAGTTGAATTTATTAGCTAGGCTAGGAATTCGAGAATAGAATTGTTCTGATTAAATAAAATATTAAATGGAATAGAAAATTTTGAAAAGAAACTTGATGTTCATGAAATAGAATTGTCTTAAAATATTGGAAAGTTGTTAAAGGAAACTAATAATAGAATTTGTTCTGATTAAATAAACTATTAAATGGAATAGGAAATTTTGAAAAGAAACTTATTGTAGGGATAATAAACTATCGATATTTTTTTAATTTTCGATAGTATCGATAGACCTGTACCACTATCGATAGTTCCAAATGGCCGGTTTCTCAATAGCGAGTCACCTCCGAGTTGGTTTTAACTTCAGGGTAAGCGAGTCCAGTTGCAATAATTGTATTCCTTTCACACCTAGGAGGAACTCTGGAATAGCTCCGTAGCGTTATGCGCTTATTCCTTTCAAAAAATGTTGCACCACGTATTTCTTCCTTTCTAATCGGGGTCGACTAACACCGGAGCGAGTAGCTCGAGTGTTCCAAACTCTTGAGGGCCAGTTTCTCAATCAATAGCGAGTGAATATAGAGAAATCTGTAGCTGTTTTGAGAAATCTGTAATTATTTTTTGGGGGTAGACATGGTGTGCTGCCAATTTTTAATTTTTAGGTTAACAGGAATGGCGAACAATGTGACGAGCAATGAACTATAACCAAAAACTGGAATGCTAACAGATAAGGACGAACGTGAAGCCTAGTGCGGCTGCTGCGGAGGGGATACCTGTTTTTGTCGCACTCATTATGTTAAATGGCGAAAATTGCTTCCAACACGTATTCCAATTGATGAAACCTGTGAAGGGAAATATGACAAAACTTTCGAAAACGTCATATGACATCTGTCTTTCATGGCTACATTTTTTTGGCAGATATGGCAATGTGTGTGCATTCCAGTTTTTAGCTATAGTTCATTGGTGACGAGTGACTTTCATGGACTTGATAGGGGTTGGAGGTTAATGTTTATTTAAGGTTATGTAGTTATTGCTGTCATTTGCTAAATTTATTTCGTAATTATTTAGAAATTTGGTTACTTTGGTCAGGGCAAACTATCGATAGTACAATCGATAGTTACTATCGATAGATAAGCCATTCTATCGATATCACATCGATAGTTTTTTTCTCGATAGTTTGTCAACCCTAACTTATTGTTCATGAAATGAATTTTGAATTAGGGTTTTATTTTTTCAAGTAGCAATTATTGTAAGGTTTTATAAGAATAAGTTAGTAATACCTATATTGATAAACAAATAGGTAATTAATTTGGGTTTTTCATAAGCAGTCAGTAAAGGACTTAGAACCTTCAAAGAATTTATATAATTAGGTGAAGGGTAGTTTATTAGGAATGAATCGGAATTGTTGAAATGAGTTAACTTATAAGTTATAAGGAATAGTAGGAATAGGGCGTTTCTTTATTAGTAGAGATATTTCAGTGGTCCGTAATAATGACATTTTTTGAACGGATGTGAAGTAATTGAATTTTAGAAAAAAATAGATGAGGCTGTCAGAATTGGAAGATATTTTGCTGATTTAGATTTTTGGGTTTTATGTATAATAAAATATAATTTAGCACACCTCAATAGTTTCTTTCTCTCTCTTGCAAATAGACCCTTCCACAGATTTTAGGTAGCAGCTCCAAGTAAATAAACACCATCAATATACCGCTCGCCATTTACCATCTAACTAATTACATAGAGTACTTGGGGCGTTTTGCTACAGAGACAAGAACGCGGTTAACCGAGAACAAACTGGTTAACCAAAATCGGCTAACTGAAAACCGGTTGACCAACTCGGTTAACTGATTTTCGACAAATGGGGTAACTGATTTTCGAGTTATCGGTTAACTCTTTTTTCAGTACCTATTTTCGAGTAGGCAATTGGTTAGCCGGTTTTAAAATCCAGTATTCGTTTAATCGATTTTAACCGAAATCGTTTTTTTTACAAACCGCGAATAATCGGTTTTGATTTTTCTCGGTATTTGCCAGCACTAATTCAGATTAGAAAAATATTCTAGTGATTCACGAATCACGAGCTATTAATAAAATAATCAAAACCCAAACTATTCCCGGCTCTTGATTTATTGTAGAAAAATCTACCAGTGATTCAAAAGCCAGTACCTAATAAAATTTGAACTATTCCCGGCTCCTGAGTTCCTCTAAAAAATTTCCCCAGCAATTCAAGAGCCATTAATAATCAAAATTTGAACTATTCCCGGCTCTTGATCTTCTCTAGAATTCTTTGAATTCCTCTGGAAATTTTTTCTTGTCATTCTAGAGCCAGTGATGATTAAAATTTAACTATTTCCAGCTCTTTTCTAGCAATTCAAGAGTCAGTAATGATCAAAATTTGAACAATTCTTGGCTCTTATCTAGCGATTCAAGATCCAGTAATGTGTAGTGACTACAGAAATTTTAATCAAGAATAACAAGGACTTACGAAACAACCATCCCAGGAGAGACCATCACTCAGACAGCATAACCAGAAACTTCAATTAAAATTTATCTTATCATCGATATCCACGAAATTATTGAAAGCCGATACCCTTCCTCTCAAGAATGACCAGCCAATAGGAATTGAACAAAATAATTGACTAATACATTGGAATGTGAATAAAGCAAAAGTTCATGGACCTTTTCAAGTGCTTTCAACAATTAATATTCCAAAAATTCCCAGAAGGATCAATAAAGTAGTAGTAAGTAACTTTACATGTAATTACCATTAATGGTGTTTGTAAAGAATCCAATAAATAAATAAATAAATAAATAAATCACGCACGAGCCTATATGATGATACCCACTTAATAAACCACTTAGCGACGAAAAGGCGACTTTGGTAGGAAAAAAGCAGAGTTCCGGAAAGAGCGAGTGAACGGGAAGAGCTACGTCTGTAAACCAGTGTTCAGTTGAGTAATCAAGAAACAAGTAGTATTCGAGAATCGAGACACCTGTGTCCAAAAAGTCGGAAGTACGGCAGAAATAAAGTCAGTAAACGAGAAGCAGTACCTACCGTGAAAGAGTTGTCGAATTAAGTTTTATATGTTCAGGCATCAGAAATGGTGAAGGCAAGAGTGTGAGTCTAGTCAAACTGTAAATTAAAATTTTAGTAATTTGTTGAATTGACCACAATATTTATGTTTTTTACTCTCCACCCGCAAATAGAATCCAGATTAATCTGTGTAATGTCTCCATTCAGAAACTAAAGTCACCGCTTGCGAATTTAACATCTTGTCAAGTTTCTGAATTTGTGGTCTCACAAATGATCAAAATCTGAAATATTCAAGGCTTTCTATTTCCTCGAGAAAATTTTCCCAGTAATTCAATAACCACTAATGATCAAAATTTGAACTATTCTCAGCTTTTTTATAGCAAATCAAGAGCCAGTAGCCCAGTAATGATCAGAACTTGAACAATAATGCCCGGCTTTTGATTTTTTCTAGATTTTGTTCTACTGATTCAAAAGCCAGTATCTAATGATTAAAATTTCAACTATTCCCAGCTCTTTTTTAGTGATTCAAGAGTCAGTAATGGTTAAAATTGAACTATTTCCTGCTCATGATTTCTTCTAAGTTTAATTGCTTTAAAAATAATTCCAAGGGTGTGTGCATTAAGAAATGTTTTTTAGTGATTCAAAAACCAGTGTAATGATCAGGATCTGAACTACTCCGGGCTTTTGATTTCTCCTAGAAATATTTTCAGATGATAATCAAAAGCCAGTAGGATGTTTCCATACAAACTCTCACATTGTATCATCATAATCCATCAGAGAAAACTGGCTTTTGAGTAGTTTTGTTTTGTAGTTTTTGCATTAATGATTAAAATCTGAACTATATTTCCAGCATTTCGTTTTTTCTATAAAATTCTAGTGATTCAAGAGCCAAGATCTGAACTATTCTCGGCTCTTGATTTCCTCTAAAAATATTTTCTAATGATCAAGAGCCAGTGATGATTAAATCTGAACTACTTCTCGCCTTTTAATTTTCTCTACAATTTTTTTCTGCCGATTCAAGATTCAAAAGTCAGTCATGGTCAAAAGCTGAACTATCTCCGACTCTTGAGGCAAGAGCCAGAGTCCAGTACCTAATGATCAAAATTTGAACTTTTTCTGGCTCCTGATTTCTTTATTTATTGAATTTTGCTAGTGATTCAAGCGCCGGTAATCATAGAGCAATCAATTAATCAATATCTTGTAAATTTACATCAGAAAGTAATATAATTTCCTGCAAGTAATCAGACAATAATTGATGAATAAAAAGTGAATAACCAGGAAATTGTAGATTTTGAAAGGACAGTCAACAAACCAACTAGTATTTCCATTAATAGGTATTTCGTGACTGAATTACAGAAATCATTTCGTGCAAATATTTCAACTACAAGGTAATAAGTATTTGATAACGCGTATATCATTCCAATTTGGCTTGATAATAATTTAGCAGGTGTAAAGGCTTAAAAATAAGAAATTCCAGTGAAGCGCAAATATTTTTCACATTTTGTTAAATTCACGTGATAAGATCAAAACTTTTTATCTTCAATATTATGACGCTCGGCACTTTCAAGGGAAAAATTTCATTGTTCATGTCATGTATCTAAGCTTATTGTATATTTTATAAGGGGGAAAAGATTTTGACATTTTATCTTAAATAAATAATACACCTGATGCTTATTATGATTATACACCTGTGTGATTTTTGTTTTTTATTTACGACTAATGTATAATGTGCGTATTATATTTGTGATTTTGGCAGTATAATGACATATGTTATTCCTCCAGGGATTAATGACGAGTAGCGGGATTAATGGTCATTATTCCACAAAAGTGTCAGTGTCAAACGTGTAGTGCTTGTGGATTTGTATTGAAAATTATGAGACGGATGAAATTTGTTCATTGAAAATCTCAAATAAATTAATTCGTCGTAAATAAAGTAGAGTATACTACTCGCAATAATGGCTATTATTCCCTCGGAATGTTACTCCCTCGCCGCTAACGCGGCTCAGTTCGTAATAATCCTCGGGAATAATAGCTATCATTATTGACTCGTGGTATAATCTACTATATTTTTGAAGCTGCTCAAAAAAAAATGGTAAAGACTTGAGCAATAATTGATCAACTTTTTTAAATCTCAGAGCCATTCTGTGACTAATGATGAGCCACCTCAACGAAGAACTGAACAGATGAGAAATGAATTAAATGCTAACTCATTGGAGGTCTGAGACAAACAAAAAGGTTCATATCCATAAGAGCAAAGTGATCTGAACAACTTCTTGGTATAAACAAAACAAAATAGATATTTGAACAGCGTTGTCGCTTGTGTTTCTTTTGAAAGAAGTCTTGGACATTTTGAACACCAACTAGGAGAAGAAATGTAAGGTGAGAGCAAAAGATATAGGCAAGCCTATTTGCAAAAAGTTACCCAAAGAAGCCACGATTTCACCACAGCTAACATTATAACATATGAATCAGAAAACATCTTACCTCCATGTAATCCATGTACAAATATAACATCGGCAAAAGCAATTCCTTCGGGTTCATGCAAAACAGTACATTCCACGCACCTTTCAGTTTCATCAGCTTCGAGTTCTATGGCTGCGATGTTTTGAGGATCTTGCGCGATGGCCAATTGTTGGGATTTCTTCATTTTCCTGATCCTGACCACTCTCAACGGAATTTTCTGGACGCTGTTAGCTAGGAAAGCTGCCAGCGTTTGGACTAGGTGATTGGTGAAGGCGATAAGGACGTTTTGGAGCCACAATTTTCTAGAATAAAATGATTGTACGTCAGTGATTGTTGTATTCGTTTATCTGTATAGGTACTTCAACTTTTGAATGGTGGGAGTTTTTCAGGTTGGTACAAAAGCAAATATGTATGCAGTGGCGTAGCCAGGATTTTGTCTTGGGGGGGGCAAATTTGCAGGAAGCGTCTTTTGCGGCCCTACCGCGACCGCTGCCGGAGGCTTAGCGCCGCAGGCGCGAAATTTTTGGGTGCCACGCCCCTTTTTCAGGTTTCTTTACGCTATTTTTGGGACTGTTTATCTTAATTTTGAAGAAATATTCATAAAATGTAAGGGTCTTGGGGGGGGCAAATGCCCCCTTGCCCCCCCCTGGCTACGCCAGTGTATGTATGTACGAAAGCTGTAGAGAAATGAGTTATCGTAATGTTAATATAGAGGAAAGTTTTAAGCAAATTACAATCATGTCTCGAAATTTGTTCGTATCTTTATTGGTTTTTGAGTAAGTCACATAAATTACTTAAAACAACAATTAACTTAAGTATCCCATATCTACATATAATTTTAAATTGTTTCTTACGAGTTCAGGGTTCAGGAATGGCACGAATCATAGTAAAACTATTATTAATACACAATGGATGCTCACGAGAGTTTCAATAAGGGTAGTAGGTAGGTATTTTTTCCACACTCTGTTTTTCGAAAACAAAGCCACACATTACTTAGATGAAGATTCATCTCCTTTATCAGGAAGATTCTGTGTGAATTATTTGACTATAGCTCCTCAAAAAATTGGTTTTTTGATTTGTTTTTGACTCTACTATCCAAGATTTATAACAACGAAAAAAATACACTTACAATGAACTGAGATATAAACTACGTGCAGCCACCAAGACGACCGTCATAATTTATTGTTTAATTAATTAATCACACGTTTATCTACACGACGGATTTCAGCTCGTAACTGATGCGAAACATTTTCTGCCTCTAATATTTTTACTTATCTTATCTGGTGTTTGAACGAGAGAAAAACTGTTTGGATAATATTTATAATATCCTATATTGTTTAATTTATGAATTCCTAGAAGAGTAAACTAATAATAAGGATAAAACTGATGTATAATATGCAAAAAGTACCTATATGTACTTAACTTATTGCAATCGGAAATTGGGTATATATTTAAGTCGATTATTAATGTCCCTATTAGATTCAATCTTCTCCTATCTTTTTACAATCAAAATGACATGCTATAACAAAAACTAATAATTTACTAATTCCCAAAAAAAAGAGCCAATAATTTATATAATTAATTTCGACATTATTGTTGGGTTTATTCTCTGGCCAGCTATTAAGGGCATTTAAATAAAGATAACTTTTGACTCGTATCTGTATTTGGTTCCTTGAACCTCAAAGTATTACATACATCTTGCACACAAATGTGAGAAAAAAAATCGTGTTCAAGACTGAAAGAGCTTTAGTGGACTTTGGCACAAGGGAATTTGAAGTATGTGGATTTTGTTTATTTGGATTTTGAGAAGGCGTTTCTGATAAGATTGATCCTTATAGATTAGTTATTATAAAAACATAAATTTAAAATAGTTAAGAAGTGTCTTCTAATGAGTGTTACTTCGGTTCAATGTCAATGTTTTCAAAATACCATTTTCCAAAATAACCATCAGATTATCATGGAAAAAATAACAAAATCCTTGAAAATGGTGCTTATTTGAAACTTTTGAAATATAGATCTGGGATTATGAAAACGTTACCTAATTGATAATGAAACACAGCTAAAAATATAGACTAATGTAAATATGTGGGAGGCACTTAGAGTTTAAATTACATCTAAAGACATTTTTTTGAACGACAAAAGTTCCTATTAATAACACTGAAAAATTCTTACCTTGTCGGAACAGCCAAACAATTACTTTCTGGATCAACAGCAAAATTGAATTGTTGTGTGATAATGCATTGGCCATCCATGATGTCTTCCACTATTATTGAATTAGCCATTCTAGAAAAAATATAGGAACAATTTGAAAGCGATAACAGCAAAAGTTCCATCAATATAAAAATCACATGCCTGAGATATTATGATGTCATTAAAAAAAATAAAAAAATTAAAATTCCAAATTTTATTTTTAAATTGATGATGCATTGTATATTATTGGTATTGGGTCATGATTTTGTATTATTTAATTAAAATTCGGGCTATAAAATTTAATTACGACCCATTATTTCTACACATACCTACCTAAGCGATGTATATTCAAATAATGTACAAACTACTTGTTGAACTATGCATCAAAAGTGGAAATTTACCAAAACTAATTTGAGTCAAACCATCGAAAGTCAATATTTCCGTTAACAGGTGTTTATCAGTACCTACATACACTATTATATTATTTTTTTTCGTATATAAAGCAACCGACTAAGTTACTGTTACTTAAATAAACTATTAGCAACACGCTACACTGTGCTCACGGTACTGAACACATATTATTTTAGAATGAAATTGAAAACCCAGTTCAACAAGTTGTAGGCGGGCTGTCTTATCTTATGCATAATAATTACCTATGGATTATTTATTGATATCTAATCTAAATAAGATCATTAGCGGAAAGTTATAGATATTTTTTTTCTTCAAATAATAAACAGAGAATATGTGGACTGATCTTAATTTAAAAGTTGAAACTACTACCTACTGATTATACTGAGTATGCTAATACTTAAAAGGTGCAAAAAAAAAAAAAAAAAACATCTAAGGAAGTGATAAGGAAATAAATATCCACAATATTTCTTCCAATAACATTTTTATTCTTGTACTGTATAGTAGCCCAAGAAATTTATACCTGGGCCGCAAAAAAATTTGCTAGGGCAGGCTGGTTTTTCCAGGGCTGATTGGGGAGTGTATCCTGAGTATTGAGCCAAAAAATCACACTCGAAAGCCTTGTGCGTTGGGCCCTATTGGCTTTTTTCTTATTTATTTCTTTTCGACAAAATTACCTCTACAAAACTTATAGATAATTACATTCTGATCAAATTTGCTCCATGACTTTTTTTGCTAGCTATTTTACTTTAGGCGCTGTGGCCATTCATAGTGCTTCAGAATTCGCAAAAAAATTAAATAGCAAACCTGCAGATTATTATACCTAATAAAATTCTCTATTACTTTGCTTGATGATATTTTATTGTAACTTTATTTCTTTCGCTTGTATGGTCTTTTAGGCATTTGAAAAAATTTATTTAACCTGGTGGACATTGTGGCATGCATTTCTAAGGATTTGACACATTTTGCAGGTAAAATGTGGCGTTTCGCGAAATTGAATTTCGCGGACGGTTGCACAATAGTTATTTAAACAACAAGTTTTGAAAACGACTTTTTTCGCACGGCGAGACAGTTTGTTGGACCGAGCCGTAGGCGAGTTTCACAAGTCGAGCAAGTGTGAAAAAAGGTTTTCAAACGAGTTTTTTACAATGCTTTTCCTACAACTGCAAAATAAAACAACCAAATATGTAATTTCCATTTATTAGAAAACTTGAAGCGTGTGAAAAACTTTTTCGCACACTAAAATGTATGTGAAAAACTTTTTCGCACGCTGTGCGAAAAGCTCTAATTTCGGAGGTTCCCTAGCGTGCGAAAAACTCTATTTTCAGAGGCAGTCGTAGGAAATAGCTATTTGTGTATTAAGAGCGCAAAGTGATACTTTGCCGATCGAAAGATATTGTTGATATTAGCAAATGCACACTTGATTTTTTTTACAATCGCATTTGATAAAAAATAGTTCAGGTTCCAAGAAACCAGTAGTAAAAGCAAGCGCTTTTAGTACTTTGCCGCTCTAGAGCGACAAAGTGAAGGATTTTGACGTAGTTTGACGCTCTAAAGCGGCAAAGTGGAGGTCATCAGGAAACGTCTACTTTGCGAGCACAAATCTAATCGACAAAGGTCACTTTCTAGGCCGATTGTAGAAAAACAATAGTATATTACATACCGAGGTGGAAAGTGTTTCATTACTCTCTACTGTCTAACTGAAATCTCGAGACAGTAATGAAACTTTTCACCGAGGAATGTATACTATTTTATTTACAATCATTCGAAATTTTCATTTGGATTAAAACTAAAAAATACAATAATTAACAATTTCATTTACTTTCGGCTCACGGGTCGAAAGTTTACTTTCGACCCGTGGGCCGAAAGTAAAAGTCAAAAAATACAATAAATTTCAAAAATTTCATTTACTTTCGGCCCACGGGTCGAAAGTAAACTTTCGACCCGTGGGTCGAAAGTAAAAGTCAAAAAAGTGACATTTTCGAACTTTTTAAAAGTCAGTAAAGTCAACATTACATGTATGATTGTAAATAAAAACATTTTGTCACTTTTCAAACAGGTAACAGGTCCCAGTATTGACAAAAAAAAACATCATTTCGATTTCTCGCTTTCACTCCGGGAAAATAATTTCACCGGATTAGTAATGTAATGTTTAATTTCTTGGACTGAAATCGAAAACGTAATGGAGTACATTACCAGTAATTTTATTAAAGTTACAATAATCTGCAGGTTTGCTATTTAATTTTTTTGCGAATTCTGGAGCACTAAAATGGCCGCAACGCCTAAACTAAAATAGCTAGCAAAAAAAGGCATGAAGCAAAGTTGATCAGAATGTTATTTTCTACAAGTTTTGTCAAGGTCATTTTGTCGAAAAAAAATAAATAAGAAAAAGGCCAATAGGGCCGAACGTACAAGGCTTTCGAGTGTGATTTTTTGGCTCAATACTCAGGACACAGTCTCCAATCAGCCCTGAAAAAATCAGCCTGCCCTCGCAAATTTTTTTTAAAAAACCCATAAATTTCTTGAACTAAGTAGGTATCTTTTGTTAACAAATTTTAACACAATCTGATTGTCTACTAACATAAGGATAGATAATCTAAGAAAAACGGATTGGACTGATCAGCAGGGAGATTGAAATGAACTTAGCAGCTAAAAAGTTATAGCAGCCTAAGTGCCGAACATTGCCGATTGCCTATAACTTCCAGTACTATTTGTACCCGAAACTAGGGTGAAAATGTCCATATTTTCACCAAAACCCTTTTTTCGATGAATCGTAATTGTTAAAATTATTTGCAAGTCTTTTGAGGTACCCTCAACGGTGTATGTATGTACAGGGTATGACAAGTCTGCAGTCTGCAATATTGGTAATATCAGCCTTTTTATACAATGGTAATATCTTGAAACCGGCTAGTTTTTCACTTAAAATTGGTATGTTTCGGTAACCAATAACTCCGGATCATTCAGGTATAAAATCGCCTATGTAGGAATACAGGGTGAGTCAATGAGAACGCAAACTTTTTTATGAGGGCGGTTACACACGGACGTGGATGTCTTAATACATATACGTGCATACATCAACGTGCAACCAAGAACGTGCATGGCGCTTTTGTACAGACGCTCGCACAAAACTGCAGTCTTGCTATTCTTGCTACAGTATTCCGAGTGTGCATACAAAATTGCACATTCAAAAACGCGACGATATTTTGCATACACATTGATGTTTTTGTTTGCATGTATGTGCGTACATGTTTTCAGACATCCACGTCCGTGTGTAACCGCCTTTAAATGGCACACCCTGTAAATTTTTACAGATATCGACAGAAATTGTGAGACTAATTCACTAATAGGTTTGTTCGGACTTAGTTCAAAATCAGTTCTGAATTAGGTCCGTACAGACTATGGGGTTTAGAGGTGTTATCTGTCAAAGTGACGGAACATAAGGGAACATTTATAACCGTACTTTTGTGACGAACCCAAAATTCACCGGTTTCTTAACCCGTTGCGTTACTCGTTTAATAGTTTACTCAGCAAGCCGTTCCAAAATGTACCGACTTTTTACCAGTTGAACTCGATCGTTCGTTCCAAAATTGACCGGAATGATCAGCTGTTTAGAACCGGCAGCCACCGGGAATTTTTGCCGGTTTTTTCGGACAGTCGTTCGTTAAATTGAGGCGATTTTCAGCCTGGAATGATTATTATTTGGTTATAACCAATGCATTTCCGCCGTCGCGGTTTTAACCAAAGTAGGGGAAGTTGTGACGTCACATATCAGCTGATTTGCTTTTGGTATTTACCATTTATAACCGATTATAACCCAGCTTTGGACTTAGGTTAATCTTTTGGTTACAGCTTTTTGATGTTATTGTTATTATTTTTGGAATTTGTATTGGTGTTTTGTAATTTTGCAGTTGCGTTGTAGCCTGGCACAATGAAAGAAGTATACATTCACTCACTCACTGCAATTCACCATGTTTAGATCGATATTTAAACAGTGGCGTAACTACAGGGGTGCCTAGGGGGGCGGGCCCCTCTCAGACGTCGCTAGCCCCCCCCCCCAGAAAAAACTTTAATAATTTGGTATTTTATGAAAGCTACGTTACCTATTATAATTTTATGTTATCAATCACTTACTAATGGACCCCGCACACCTCTTATGGGTTTTTGGTTTTCTGTCAAACTCAATGAAATTTTGATATGTGTTAGACCTTGACTTCCTGATAAAAAGTTCTCATGGGCCCGAACCAATCCTATGATTAGTTTTTGAGATACAGGTACTTTTATGTCCAAGAAATGTATACATTTTATATGTACCTATTCACAATCTACCTGTCACCTAATAATAGGTCTGTTTCTGCAAAAATCACAAACTTGTCAGAGCGAATTTGATTGGTCGAAAACAGTCAGAAAACTAGTTACAACCAATGAAATTGACTCTGACAGACCTAATAATAGGTGACAGGTAGATGTGAATGCATATAAAATGTGTACATTTCTTGAACATTAAACCACCTGTATTTCGGAAACTAATCATAGTATCGGGTTGCATGTTTTAATTCCGTCATCTATTTCGGCACCAATAGAAATAACACGTTCTGATTGGCTGCGCGGTGTTCTTCGACGCGGTGCCGAGATGGGGGTCGGAAATAACTGCAGAGTGCCGAGATCGCATGACAGAATTAACTATTTCTTGTTACATCTTGGGCATCATTTCTAGTGCAGACGCCAGGCGATATTGCATTATTATTATAAGATATTTATTATTTGTACCGCAAAAATGGAAGAGTTTTTACCTACCTTTGTTTCGTAACGTGACTATTCATGAAAAATGTATTCGAAGCAACATAAAAAGTGAAGAAGATTTGCGCCAATGGGTACAAGAATACAGTGTATTGAACAAAACAAACTGGAACGTTAAAAAGTGCATAGGGTCAAATGGGTTTGTGGTTAGATATGGTATTATTATTATGATTGAAATAATAATTGTTTAAAAAGGGTGCATCAAATTCGATGGCCTCTATTAGTACAGTGACAAAAATATTTGTCAGTTTAAGGAGCTGTATTCGGGTTTCATTTATGCCCGATCTAAAGAAAACACCTGAACCTCGATACCTTTGAAGCTTATTGCCTTTGTATAGAAGATACTGGTGTTCAAGAATTCAATGTGTTTGTTTCACGTTATCCAAAGTGGAAAACATATACATATA